AGAAAACAGGGTTGAAAAGCAGCATTAGTAGGACCAATTGTGATGGATGGCATTTGTTTTCTCACTGTTTTGAAGTAATCTATTTTATAGAAAAATGATCACATCAACACAAGCTATAATTTTAGGAAGAAACATGTCTGTTCTTAAATTTACATAATGTTTTCAATTTGTGTAGGACATTGGTAAGTTATATTATATGGTTAAGCAACAATGAATGATGAAGATTCCACTCATCAGAAAGGGTGTGTGTGTGTGTGTGTGTGTGTGTGTACATACAATGTATCTAGACTATAGTAAGTCAGAAATAGAGTCTACAGTAGAAACTATTCTATATCTTAAGTGCTTAGAGATGAGTTTGGAACAAGGTATCGTCAAGTGCTAATTATTTTGTATTATCCTAGTAATTTTATCTATTCATTTATTCAAAATTCACATGAAGCCAAAATGGGAACACTAATAAAAGTAAACTCTCCAACAACTTATTTACATAAGAATTAATGGGATTCTTAAATTAATTTTTAACTATGCACACATAACAGCTATTACTTAATTCATTCATTGATCCATTCACTCATTCAGAACTGTAAAGACTATTTCAATGTAGCACAGTGCTGGCCACTGAGGCCAAAAGCTAGAAAATAGCCCAGAGATTCCTTGAGCAGGGACTGCTGAGGGGAGACAGAAAACTGAGAAGACCTGCCCCAGCGACAGGGCACCTGCTGGAATGGAGTGTGGTCAAGATAGGCAGAGTGCCTGAGGGAGGAAAAGAACCTTACTCAGCTAAAACTGGAGGAGGATGCCGTGTGGAATTTGGATCATTGAAGAGGAAGAGAGGACAGGAATGAGAGAAGGAAGTACTCTAGGTGGATGAAAACAAGTTGCAAAAGCCTAAAGCAAAGATTTATTGCATTCCTATTATAGGCAAGTTACTTTGTTAATAAAATAAAAAAATTATTTAGTCTCTGCCCTCAAATGACTCCCAATCTACCATTTTATGTCTAATAAGGAACAAATTGCATTTCAAACCCATAGAAACTCTCTTTTGGTTTTCTAAGCCTGGCTTACCTGCACTCATGGACATGACGGAGGATGAACTCTGATCATCCTAACTACAGCCTCTCTTTTGTTCTCTGCAATTTGAAAACATGCCAAGGGCCCTCTGAGATGTCCAGTCTGTGTGATGTGTGTGTCCTCTGTTATATAAAGCCCTCATTCTGAGGAGGCCCTGGGGAAGAGCCTTGGGAAGGACTACATTTCTGACACCCTGGCGAAGCCTCAGGAACACATTGGGAGTATTGCCAAGGCCAGCAGCCAGGCGAGAGGGAAGAGCAGCTCACGATGTGGAGCTGGAGTGGTTTTCTTCTTCCTGACGCCGCCTTGCCTTCAGCTAGTGCTTCCCTCTCTTAAAGATCCTGTCCTCCCGTGCCTCCACCGTCCCACCCCACCCACACTCTACATTTCTCTACTCAGAACCTCCTCAGTGTGCATATAGCTGGCATAAGTAATATTATTCCCAACTTGTGAATGTGTTTTGTTAGTTTAAGTTCACTGGGGTTAGCCCCACTCTATCAGCCCTACCGTGCAGGACTCAGGCAGACAATATCACTTCTATACACTCTTCGCATCATGGCACCAAAAGCCCTCTATCCCGGCTTGAGCACTGCAGAAGCAATAAGGAATCCACCTGTTGGATCCTAATTCTCATTTGTAAATTCACTTCAGCTAACAACAAGAATTTGACCTTCTGAATTCACCACCACTCAACTAGTCCTATTCTGTGCTCAGGACGTTGAGATTATGGGATGAGAGCTAAGCAGGAGCTCGAAGAAGTGTGGAAATGGACTCTGTGATAACTTCCACACTTCCTTTCATAGCACTTATAGATACTGTAACTTAAATAACGGCTTGAGTCGTGGCTTGTGTAATCTGCATTTTTCTCACTAGAAGGTAAGCTTGGTGAGGGAGCACCGTCTGGCCTGTTCTCTGCTGTATAGCCAGGACTGAGCCAAGTGCCAAGAAGACAGTGGTCACTCAAAAACTAGTTGTGGCCGGGCGCAGTGGCTCATACCTGTAATCCCAGCACTTTGGGAGGGTGAGGAGGGCAGATCACGAGGTCAGGAGTTCAAGACCAGCCTGACCAATGTGGTAAAACACCGTCTTTACTAAAAATGCAAAAATGAGATGGGCGTGGTGGTATACACCTGTAATCTCAGCTACTCAGGAGGCTGAGGCAGGAGTCGCTTGAACCCAGGAGGCAGAGGTTGCAGTGAGCTGAGATTGCGCCACTGCACTCCAGCCTGGGTGACAGAACGAGACTCCATCTGAAAACAAACAGAAAAACTCGTTGTTGAATGGATGAGTGTATGCATCTGGCAACAACCATTGTTGCAAACTCACTGGGATCCTTCCAGCAGCCACACGGCCAGCTCTCATCCCCACTGAGATTGTCTGTGGACACAATAGATGCACAACCAGGTATTCCTAGGGCCACCCACGGCACCTGCTATCATAGAAAGGTATTGTCCAATATCTCTCCAATTCCTGTTGGAATCAGAAAAATACATGTTTTTTCTGACTCTTCATACTTTCTCGACCCCTTTGCTCTGCTGTTCCCAGCTGTCCTATACTCTGACAGGTCAGTGGCTGTGACATATAAGATCAGAGGATTCTATAAATTTTGAAAATTATTACTCATCTACAGTATCTTATATGATTTTCAACTCTGGAAGCACATAAGCATCACCTGGTAGAGTCTCCACCAACTCCTGATACCCACTTGCACTCTAGGCCAATGAAATCAGAAGCTCTGGAGGCTGGGCCCAGGACACAATATTTTTTAATGCTCTGCAGATGATTCCAACAAGTAGCAAAGGTTGAGCACACTCTCTAGCAGACAGTCATAACCTCTTCCTACTAGGGGGCCGTAAGGAGGGAAATGCTCCAAATTCATTTTCACATTCGCAGATGAGTCTTAGATATTCTCAGGTTCCTGTTCTGAGCTTGACCCACAGAACACAGCCTTTACGCCCTCGTGGGTGACAGGCAGGGCCAGAGATCCCAAAATAAAAAGCTGCTCAATCTCATTGCAACCAGGGAAATGCAAATTAAAGCAATAATAAGATTCCAGTTTTTGCCCGTCCGTTTATCAAAAATGACTGATACCATACTGGGCTGGCTGTGGCACAAGAATGAATATTCTCTATAGGATAGACTATAAATTACTATATTCTTTCTGAAAAGTAAGCTGGCAAGCTTTATTAAATATTTATTAAAGTTTAAAATGGGTCTGACTTCTAAACCAGAAATCCCATTTCTAGAAATATGTGTGTCAGAAATAAAAGTACAGCGTGCATCATGGCTTGTGATAGCCAAAAGGGAACCTAATGTGTGACAGTTACCAATGGGATATGTATGATTCATTCATACTGTGTGATATTTTGCTATTAAGAAGAATGAAGGAAATATCTGTCTATGAATTGACCTTGAGGGATATTCATGTTATACATTAAGTGAAAAACTGAAATTACAGAATTATAGATAGGATTCCATTCATCTAAGAATAATGAACATGTCTATCTCAGGTGTATGTGTTTGCATAGAAAAATATGGAAGAGGCCAGGCGCGGTGGTTCACACCTATAATCCCAGCACTTTGGAAGGCTGAGGTGGATGGATCGCCTGAGGTCAGGAGTTCGAGACCAGCCTGATCAACATGGGGAAACCCCATCTCTACTAAAAATACAAAAATTAGCCAGGCATGGTGGTGCATGCCTGCAGTCCCAGTACTCAGGAGGCTTGAACAGGAGAATTGCTTGAACCCAGGAGGCAGAGGTTGCAGTGAGCTGAGATCGTGCCACTGTGCTCCAGCCTGGGCAGCAGAGTGAGACTCCATCTCAAAAAAAGAAGAAGAAGAAGAAGAAGAAGAAAAAAAAAATATGGAAGAATAATATGTTCCAAGTTGGTGATAGTGATTAAAAGGGGATAAGGTGGTGAGATTATTAATTAATTAATTTGAGAAATTTAATAATCTCCCAAAGTGCTGGGATTACAGGTGTGATTATAATTTAATAATAATATACAGTGCTAAATAGAAATTTAGCACTTCTATGCATCGTTTGAATTGTGACAATGACCATTTATCACTTTTGCAATTCAGATTGCTGAAATAAATGGACTGGGTATGGTGGCTCATGTCTGTAATCCCAGCACTTTGGGAGGCTGAGGAAGTCAGATCACTTGAGGCCAGGAATTCAAGACCAGCCTGGACAACATAGCTGGACAAAAAATTAAAAATTAGCTAGGCATGGTGGTGCCTACCTATAGAACCAGTTACTCTGGGGGCTGACGCAGGAGTTTGAGCCCAGGAGTTTGAGGCTACCGTGAGCAATGATTGCACTACTGCACTCCAGCCTGGGTAACAGTGAGACCCTGAGTCTTTAACAAAAAGAAAGGAGAAATGTTGAGAGACATACAAGAAGACCCAAGTAAATAAATATACTACAGTATGAAAACAGTCATTCTTAAGTATGTACAACAGCCAAACCCAAAGTTAAGCACCAAGTGGGGAGAGGCATAGGGTAGAAAGACAAGACATAGCTCTTGAGAGCTTTAGAGTTTTCTGTGGTTCTTAGCCTCCTCTTGTGGAAAATGCAGAGGATAATAGCATGCACTCCAAGGGTGTGTTGTAAGGCTAAAAGGAGATGAAGCATGCAAAGCAGAGACTCACAGCAGTCGCCTCATGAATGTGGACAGTGGTGGTGATGGTGACAATGACCGCCTATATGGTCAAGCCAATTCAGAAGTACACAGAGATGAGGCTTCCATTTTCTCTAGGAATAACAAGCCACTCTGACCACAGGGTATATCTGTTTACCTGGCCAATATGGAGGAATATACTGAACATTAGCAATAGTGGTTAAAAGAGGGAGGGATTTAGAATTTTATTGGGTTTAGAGTTCTAAGATTCTGTGATTAGAAGCCTTTGTGAGTTGGGATGGGAGAGGTCATTTGGTTTGTGCCTTCTCTCCCCACAATTTCCCAAAAGAGCTATGAAATGGGCCTTTTCTCCCAGGTGTGGATTAGCTGTGGGAAGCAAGTGAAGCCTGAAGCCATTTCTTTAGAAGGAGCTGGATGTTTCCAGGTACATGGTGGGGGAAGAGGAAAATGAAGGAAGGTGATGCAGAAGTTACCTTTGGGGCTGAGGGTATAGCCAGAGAGGCAATAAGACGAGCAGCCCGGGAGAAAGACCATCTCAAGACCTGGACACAGAGAGGCAGACCTGCTGGATCTCCACTGAGCAGAGGCAGCTGTGTTTGTAACCCAGCTCACCTGGACTTCCCAGGCTGTGGATAGTAATGAGGGCACCATAGGAGAAATCTGTTCAAAGGGTCATTGCACTACCTGTAGATAAGGGGGCATCAAGGGCAGGAGAGTCTCACCTGGGCTCACGTGCAAGTCTGTTCTTTCTGGGACCATCTGCCCTCTCACGTACCAGCTGTCTCTCCTGAGTAGCTCCTGGAGTGGGCTACAGGCTGTTCACCAGGCATGGTGAATCCCCACCATGCTGCATATGCATCGGCATGCTTCCCAATGCAATGAACTGTTAGGTAGCAAGGTTGCATGGTCATGGTCAAGGCAGGCAGGATCTTAGAAAAGGGTAGGGATTTTCAACATAGGACTCCACAGAGGACCTCAGGGCTCATCATAGTTTGAAGGACTCTTTGCTGAGGGAATGGAGCAGGGAGAGCCCCAGTGTCTGATGTAACCAGAAAAGCTCTGCTTTCACTCACCTTATGTCAGGATTCATATTCCACTTTCTTCGTGCAAAGGCTTCCTCGTGCTAAGCATGAGTTTGCAGTTCTATGGTACCTACCTGACTTAACAGGAGGAAAGTCCAGACACTGACCTCCTATTATGGCTTTAAAGGAAGGCCTTGCAACTTCCCAGATCTTTCTCACAGACGGCCTAAGGCCTAACCTGTTACCAACAGGAACACTTAATCCTTTTAGTGGCCAATACTACAGGCATTCTTCTTTGTATGCTTTGCCTTCTCTTTAAACAATTATTTACTTTTTAAAAATTGGGGTAAAATACACATAACAAAATTCACCATGTAATCCTTTTTAAATGTACAGTTTAGTGGCATTGAGGAAATTCACATCGTTTTACAACCATCATCACCATCCGTCTCTAGAACTCTTTTCAACTTGCACAACTGAAACTCTGCGTCCGTGAAACAAGGACTGCCCATTCCCCTCTGCTCCCAGCCCCTGGCAGCCATCATTCTGTTTTCTGTCTCTATGAATGTGACTGCTCTAGGTACCTCATAGAAGTGGAATTATACAGTACTGGTCCTTTTGTGACTGGCTTATTTCACTTAACCTACTGTCTTCAAAGTTCATCCACGTTGTAGCATCTGTGAGAATGTCTTTCCCTCTTGAGGCGAATATTCCATTGTATGCATATGCCGCATTTTGTTATCCATTCATCTGTTGATGGACACTTCGGTTTCTACACCTCTTGGCTATTGTGATAGGACTGCAAGGCACATGGGTGTACATTGCTTACTTTTTTTTTTTTTTAGATGGAGTCTTGCTCTGTCTCCCAGGCTGGAGTGCAGTGGTGTGATCTTGGCTAACTCTAACCTCCGCCTCCTGAGTTCAAGCGAGTCTCCTCCTCAGCCTCTTGAGTAGCTGAGATGACAGGTGCCCACCACCTCACCCAGCTAATTTCTGTATTTTTAGTAGAAACAGGGTTTTGTCACGTTGGCCAAGCTGGTCTCGAACTCCTGACCTCAGGTGATCTGCCAGCCTTGTCCTCCCAAAGGGCTGGGATTACAGGTGTGAACCACCGCACCCAGCCCACCTGCTTACTCTTAAAGCAGATTTCTATAGCCACTTATGACCCCATTCCCCACCCCTACTGTGTTACCACAGTAACACAGTTAAGGGGAACACTTCATTCTTTCAGTGATCAATACTACGGGCAGTCTTTTTCTGCCAATCCAATCTGTCTTCCCTCAGTGTGGTCTTCCTCTTTCTTATCTGACCTTCACAGCTTTCATGATCTAAGATATCCCCAGCCTGGCACAGGAAGAGGACCTCAAGGGGCCTGCGAAGTTCTTCCACAGGTTCTCCCCAGCAGGCCCACTGCCACCTCCTCCTCCCCGCCTTGGCTGCCATATCACCAGATCCCCTGGCCACCACATATTCAGATCCCTGTTCCCCACCAGCCAGGGACTGCTCCGTGCAGAAATGCAGCAGAATTTTCCCAGGCTAATTTACTAACCCGGATGAGAGGAACCCATAGAATTCACATGCAGAAACAGAGTATTTTTTAAAATGTAACTCTAAAACTAACTATCACAACTAGATGAGGAAGTGGGAGTGAGTCCACCCCCAACTCGTCTTCTCTTTTCTGTTTTTCCTTTTGCAAAAGCTACAAAAGAGTTAAATACTTTGCCACGAGGTGGGATAAACTTCTCAAATCTGTGGTCCCTTGGTTATCTGACACCCGCCCTGTGTGGGATGCCCCAGATCCTTTGTTGGTTATAATGGCACATCTTCATTATTGTTCTAATACTCCTTAAAAAAAAACACCCTAATCTTTCTCTGGTGCCAATGATGGCCACAATGCGGAGACGTTTTATTTCTCTCCCCTCTGTCCTTCCCTGAACCCCCTATTGTTGCCATAGTCACGATGGGGTGATAGTGCCGGGGCAGGGCGGTTTCTGTACTGTACCGCCCCGAGCTTATTGTTTAAATCTGTATTATTCCACTGTTCTGAAGATTTACATTTTTAATGGCTCATTTATGTAATCCCATAAATAAAGTAGCAAAAAAAGCATCCCACACAAATGAGTGAATCAGAGTTTGTAAAAGGCCCCTGAAGCAGGTCACCCCGGGTCTCAGCTGCGGGGCCTTGATTGGTGTGGCCGGTGTTAGCCAGGGTGGCAGTGGGCTTAAGACCACCCAGTCAGCGCCCAAATGGGGCATTACCAAGGAATAGAGGGATGGTGCTGGAGTTCAATCTCCCCTATTTATCAGAGAAAACAGTTCTACTGCAAAATCCATTTTAGTCTGAGACTCATTTACCTTATTGCTTTGACAGCTGCACCTCTCTCTGGCAGAGAAGTTTCTATGATTAGCTTTTTCCCTCCTAGCAGCTGATGTGTGTTTTCCCTGCCCCTCCTTTCTTCTTCTTCTCAACCAATATATTCCTGGGGCTGCTAAATTTTTCTCTAAAGAGTCTGTGAATTCAAGCACCTGCCCCCAGAATGTATTTGACACACTGAACAGAGATATAGTTGGAACAATTCACTGCTAGGCTTCCCTCCACCAGCTTCTCTCTTCATCCTCCCTCCCCCTGATGAAAAGCCTTAGTGAACCTTAGCTCCTTTGGGGAAGTTTGTGCTAATTAAGCACAAATGAAGAAAATGGCCAAAACGTAACTGAGTTGGCGGGTCTAACACTCTTTCCCAGCTTCGATGCAGATCTATAAATCCCTGTTCTTGACAGACTGCTTGGTTCTGGGATGCTTGTTACAGTCATTGCAAACATTTTTTGCTTTAGATTATTACAGCAAAGCGTGACCATGGGATCGGAGTCCTCTGTCTGTATCTGTCTTGCCTCCCTGTGTCTTTTTGGTGGCCTGTGTGTGTGATTGGCAGTCAGAAACACACAGTTGATACTTTGCAAGTGGTCTGGGACCAAAGCCATAGAGAAACAGAGGAAGTGTAAAGTGCTCTAAATGCACATAAATGTCATAGTGTGTCCAAATGCAGTCAAAATTAAATTGATTAAAACCGTAGTCCCAAGGCAAGAGAGCCATCAAGTCTCAAGTTTCTTATTTTCTCACCGTGGAAAATGACTTCTAAACTTTGCAAAATGAGGATTTTAATCCATAATCCCTACCTTGGTGGGTTTATGAGAAAAAGAAATGCGTTTTTTTCTCTTACATCTTCTTAGATGGGAAAATACTGTGTAAGTCAAAGAAGCAATCATAGGATTGGTTGTCCATTTTCCCCAAGAAGGCCAGGGAGGCTGGGTGGCAGAAGCCCCATAATGTGAGTCAGAGGCCAGGGCTTGGGTCTGGTGAATGCGGCTTGCTGGGGAGCCTGTGGCAAGCCCCCTGTTATCCAGAACGCACGTCCTGAGAAGTCAGCAGAAACTTCTCTCTGTCCACTGCCATATCTCCACTACCTGGAATGATACCTCACATGTGACAAAGGACACATGACATATGTCAGTGGTATTGACTGCCAGACTGAGGGAAGAATCTATCTGAACCTTACCCTAGTGTTTTGTGAACCCCGTCCCTGAGTGTGGTCATGAAAACCTGAGGGGACCAGGTGTGATGGCTGATGCCTGTGATCCCAGGACTTTGGGAGGCTGCAGTGGACAGATAACCTGAGGTCAGGGGTTTGAGACCAGCCTAACCAACATGGCAAAACTCCATCTCTACTAAAAATACAAAAAATTAGCCTGGCATGATGACGGATGCTTATCGTCCCAGCTACTTGGGAGGCAGAGGCAGGAGAATCACTTGAACCCGGGAGGCAGAGGTTGCAGTGAGCCAAGGTTGTGCCATTGCACTCTAGCCTGGGCAACAGAGCAAGACTCCATCTCAAAAAATAAAAAAAGAAAGAAAGGAAAGAAAACCTAAGGAAATGCTCTATATGAATGCCCCTTCAAGTGCGTCAAGAGAAAACCTAAATGTGAGTTATTATTCACAGTGACGAGCACCTCAGGAGACAGGACAGAAGCTAATCTTTTCATTAGACTTTCCATCTTTTACAGCATTTCCCTTGGGAGCCTTTAAGCCTCACTAATGGGGTTATGATCATTCCATAAAAGACAGAAGGAAATCCCACCCCCTTTCATACTCAAACGTGATGCTTTCATTTAAAGCCTCATCGTTGGAGATGGATTCGCCCTGAACCATCTGCAAGTCCTGATTGGTCCTCTTTGTGATCATGACCTAACAGGGAGCTGAGATCATTGTTTGTGGCTTAAAGAAGAATTTCAGGCCAAGCCATGAGGTTGTGTCATTTAAAAAATGTATTATTTAGGCCAGGTGTGGTGGCTCATGCCTACAATCCTAGCACTTTGGGAGGCTGAGGTGGGTGGATCACCTGAGGTT